TTGGGATTAAAATTAGAATCATTTAGAATGACACAAAAATATGATAATAATACAATAACTTAGATACACTTTATATTTAAATAATTGAAATATGTTAATACTACCTAAGAAAGTATTGGATAAGAATATAGAAGGGTTATACTTTTACTCGAATTCAGAACACCCGACTGAGGAAGCCTGTGCCGTACCTGGAAGATACCTGTGCCTCAGAGAAGAACGCTGTCAAATACATTAGTCCCGCTAATTTCACCTGACGTTATTTACGTTTACATAGTCCTCATATTCGGCAAACTAAGCCCAGTTCAGCACGACAGAAAGAGGCTTATGAATTGAACACCTCTATGTTTATCCGTGGCATCGTAGTTCCTAAACGGCTGAAAATAAGTTCATTGATTGTGGTTTTATGTTTTAAGAGGTTTAATTGAAAGTTTTACTCGATTTTACTTCCCTTTACATTTTGCTTCACAGAAAGCTATTGTTCCTCAATTTAATAAGATTTATTAGATGTTAATAGCAGTTGTTATACTTCATAGTTAGAGAGAGACTTCAAACATCAATAGGTAATAATTTATTTAAATTATTTAACATACATATTATAATTTGTATATTACTACAATATCCATTTAATTATATTACAAACATCTCACTTGGGATTCGTTTTGTAGGTAACTAGGGCCTATACTAATACATTATAGTATTTAATCATTTGGTTCCATTTTTCGTAATTTTTAATGTATATAATAATAATCGAATAATATAATCTGGAATAGGATGTATTATGAGAAAGGTTTATGTCACTACCTATTATGCTAAGTAGCTTCAAATACTTATAATGAACACCTAGTGCCCTAAAAATTGTATTAACTGAAAGCTATAACTAGATATAAAGATCTAAATCAGGGTTTCCCAAACTATTTTGGGCAAAAGGTTCAGTTTAGAAAAGGGGTCTTTTCTAAACTGAACTGATACCTCGTACCCCCAAAGACAAATTACTGCGCGTATCGACTTGTGGAGTTTTTTAAAATTACAACAAAGATACTTCCTACTAAAATATAAGTCATTCTTAATACAAGTTGGTACACGTAATACAACTAATACAGTATCTTGAAAGTTTCAAATAAGAACTGGTGTTAATAATTAAATTTTTAGAGCTTATTGACCCCAAAATCAGTTTTCGTTAATGTAAACCCCTGAGATCCCAATTTCGACCCCAAGGGGTCGATATCAACCACCTTGGGAAGCCCTGATCTAAATAATAGGTAGGTGGTCATATAGGTGTCTATACTCGACAAGGTTAATATTTACTTTCCTCGAAACATAGAATCTATTGCTATGGGGTCTTCTAATCTAGAAACAGCATAGAGATCAGCATTTATGAATTATATGCAAACTTGGAGTGTAATAAAACAGAGGTAAGAGTAACAAGAGGTAGTTTCTGGGAACCTAGCCTAGAACAACTGAACTAAGCAGTAACTGTTAATCCTACGTCGCGCAGTGTTAGTTCTATAACCTCAAATCGTTTGACTTGGAACTCTGAGTTTTGCAGTTGGGATTATAACATAAACTGTTAATCTTATGATCTTATTCACCAGATAATGTTTTTGTATTCCAGTATATTTTGTGATGAAACTGTGAGCATAGGCCCATGTTATTTTGAACACGGGCATAACATTATATTTTCCATATAACTACCTAGTGGCATATGGCTATAGTTTAGTATTTCTACATTAACATAAGACACACATTAATGCGCGTAAATAAACGCAATATTTATTAAACGAGCATAGGACATTTCTGGAATAAGGATTTAGTCGAAAATACGAATAATCTCTGTAGGCCTGTTACGACTAGACTATGTTTTAATATTCATGTCTACATTTTACATCCAATGACTATTCATAACTATTCTTTAAATCAATAAACTTATGAACAGAGCAATACAAGGTTGCTGCAAATACCCAAAAATCCAATGCTCTCCTGTGATGATCTTAATAGCTACATTCTGTAAACTAAATAACGGTATGGATCATTGGATGTTTCATAAGTTCCAGTACTAGGTATCTGTTAATTCAACTCCGGATGTTGTTACGCAGGCAGGGACTCTTAACATAAACAATCTATCATTTAAGTTGATGAAATAATTCTACGTCGATAGATCATGCTACATCCCATACTAACATTGTTTTTGAAACTAATCTTAACCTTATAAATACCAACACTAAAGTTGTTTATGGCTGGTCTGTTACAGCGAGCCCCTTTTTCAAGGTTAATCAAAACCTTCTATCTGTTCTCATTTTCCACAAGGTCAGTCAATTACCTAATTGTTCTCAAGTAAGTGTGATGAACTTCCGCGTAGAGCAAAAATATTGTGGCAAAACGTGATAACAATACATATTACAGTACCTACACGTTTATCTCAGCACATAGTTACAGTTTACTTAGTGTCATGTGAGCATTGTAAAAGCTGTTAAAGAGACTGCATGCTAACAATGCAGTAGTTGAGTACTTTTTTCCAAGGTATTCATGCACATACCTACGTAGTCGAAATACGTGTTTTAAGTCTTGTGTACGGCTGTATCTAATGCATCATCTAATGCATCCGTGCATTAATTATATCTTGTGACACAAGGTTAATTCCCTAATAGAACTTTAAGATACAAAGAACACAAATATTGTCTAATATATTTTAAAGATTTTCTTTCAGCTGACTTCAGTCATATACAATTTCTCACCAATCTATATACATATTATATTGTAAGTACCAAGAAGTTTCATAGGCTAACATTATGTGTTACGTACTAAGCTATCTTTAATGTGCATCTTAATATAATTTGGTATTCATATATTTCATATATTCATATAAGTACATATATTCTTAAAACTCCAGGGGACGGCTTAACGTGTTAACTAAAATAATGCTTTAACATTACTATAGTCATCGAAAATTTAGGATTCATATGTATAGGTTTTGGAAAATGCCAATGTACTTAGTATCTGAAGGGAAAGTAACTTAAGTCCCTTAAAAATATAATCTTTTGCTACTATTCCAAAAAGCACTTTTTATCTGCAAAGTATTTTTAAACAGTGATCTGTATTTCTGTAATGTATAAATTATTTCATTCGGTTTTGCTAATTATTATTGGATAAGGATAAGGATTGTTAGAATTTAAAGAATAGTTACCGAGAACCAAAAAATTATACATATCATATGTATAATTTTTCTCATAAAGTGTATCTTAATATACTAGTGCAATGCTCTCTAAATATAATTCCTATCGACACAAAACGACAAAATATTGAAAGTTCTTATTAATATATATCATAATTAAGTAAACTAATTGGCAAATATACTAACAAACGGTGGGTAAATTTTGTGAAAGAGGTAATATTAAAGTTATTACATCTATTTGTGTGTAATTGTACATATACTGTTCTTAGATAAAAGGCAGGCATTATGTTTTAATATTTTGGCAGTTGGTTTACTATCAACCATCGCAAAATACTTCACTACCGTAACGTGTTCATAGACAATATTATTTGAAACTAGTGCAGTGTCGTCTATACATCAGATTATACTACTTACAATTAGGCTGGGCAACAACATGTCTTTATGCAACTTTATTGAGACTTCTTAATTGAATTGTAATCTTGGATTTATCGAATGAACGTATAAAAAACTTGAAATAATTAAATTAATTGAAAAAATGATTCAGTAACAGAGCTGTATAAATACAAAGCCATGAAAAAAAGGAATTATGTCACAAGTGTCTGCAATGACGATCGACATTTAAATCTATTTAAATATTTTTGTTCCGAGTTGAATTTTCAAATTAAATTACAGAAATGATCTTAATGGACGGCCTGAATATTTGGAACTCCTGTGGTATTAAACATGGAAGTATCGACAATAAAGACCTACATTTCCATTAAAAAAAAATTAAATTTAAATTAGGGAATAAATTGATAATATTTCACTGAACTGCGATAACATTTGTTTAATGAACGAAATAATGAAACGAAGAACATGTTTTAAAATGTTTGTATGATCTGCAAATTGTTTCGGAGTTTGGGTGTTTTCTATGTATAATATGTATGTATTTACAAAAAAAATATTGTATCTATCTTTCATAGTACAAGTTCTGCTTAGTTTGAAACTAGATGGCGTTGTGCGTCAGATGTCTGAAATATATTATTATAATTATTTCATCTGTGTACCTATTTCTTTCGTAGTTTGTTAAATAATAAGTTTCATGGCCCTGATAAAATAAATATATAATAAACATCCTAGTAGGCCCGCAGGCGAGCCATAATGACCGACACTGATGATTATAAATAAATTACATCAATTACTTTAAACTCGGTGCAATCTAATCTATTGTTTCTTAGGTATAAGATATATTGCATCTCTTTGCTCTTGCATAATTATTTTCTTATTTCTATCTGTTTGCTATTTACGTGTATCTAAATCTGAATGTGAATCTATACCTATACATTTTTAATTAAATCTTGTAAACATAGCAATAGCGCAAAGTAGTTTTTAAAATTACGTCTTTTTAAATAATTAAATACAATTTTATACTCCGATAAAAATAAGTTAATCACACTGTATAAGAAAATGATATGTCGTCAAGTAATCATAGTAAATGGACTTATTGTAAATTGTATAATACATAGACATATATTAATTTATATAAAATTATGTAAATCGGGAGGATAAGAAGTTTACCAAAAGTAATATATTTATCGTAGGCCGCTCTCCTCTATACCTAATCCTTATTGCCTTACCCCAAATTAGCCTAAAACAATCATCACATGACGCGCATACATAATATACCCACGCTACCAAAATAGCAAACACTGTAAATTTGTAAGAGCTAATTTTGATTTGAATTGAATTTTGAATTCGGAACGAAATTATTTCTTTGCTTAAGATGCCTACTTAAATATACACAATATACATACACGCATAAATTGCAAAAAATATTATATAAAGAGGGGGACTATAAAAACAGTTGCTTAACGAAAAGCAATGGGCGGTCACGTGACTTTAGTCGGTGGCGGTCGGAGGTGTGCGGAGAGTGTGGCTCGAGCGGCGGCATCGGCGGTGGCGGCAGCGCCTGCGCCACGCCAGCGCACGGTGTCATACGTAGTGGCCGCGTAGCCGACGAAGCGCCGCATTGCCGGCACGACGGGCGACGGACGCCGAGAGGCCGGCGCCACCACCACATACCTTCTGACTCGTAGCTATGCTTGTAATCTTCGTTCCCCTTCTCGTACCCTGTAGATCCTTCATAGCTCGTTCTGTACTCTCCATAACCTGATTTCTCATATGAGTCATAGCCTGACTTCTCATATGAAGACTCATAGTTTGTTTTATTATACCCAGAGGGCCCTTCGTAGCTCGCTTTGCTGCACGAAGGTGTATCGTAGTCCGATTTGTTGAAGTTAGATTCATAGCTTGAGTCGTCGTAGTCCCCGTAGCTGGTTGAAGCATACCCCGTTGGGAAGCCGTAGCTAGTTTTGCTACGGACTCGTTCTGACCATGTCGATGCTTCGCTGTCGCAAGGAGTTACCGGAGCACTTCGAATTGTTTTTGGTACATAGTGTGGGATGTATTCATTTGTGAGGGACCCGCGTTTCTGTAATTGATAATATTGATTGATAACAACTATTTAAACCTTAAACTTTTACTTTTAAGGGTAATATTTATACCAGGCAGAGAACTGGATTGTGTACCACCGATTTTAGAATTATACCTGTATAATTTTTGTAATTGGTCACATTTTTTTAATGTTAAACCAAAAAACCATGCGAAAAACTACGTAGATATTTTAAATTTAGTATTAACCTTCGTTACGATTACCGAAAATAAATTAAATGCCTAGTCACATGGCTGATTGTAAAAAGTAATAAGATTAAATATTAGAGCAAAATAAAGGTATACTTACTCTCATAAAATCGAAATTAAGCAGCTTAAAGCGTCACACCTCCTGAAGAAATTTTACTGGACAAACGCCTTGGCGGTTATCACCCGATCGGATCATCACCATGCCATCAACTTCGTCTCCAACTTGGATAACAATCTGATCGCGCAACAGCATGAGCCCATTATCGCCATCCGATACCTGAAATATGTTACGAGTCGAATACTAAAACAGAAATGTTAAAGAGATTTAAATGCTTACGATTTTGATGGTTGACCCAGCTTTAAATGTTGGGTTATTGGCAACATGACTTATTACTGTATTCTATGAGAAGACTAATAGTAATTTATATCTTTTTCGAAATAAATAAATTAAATTCAATATTATACATATTTCTCAGTAAGGCTGTGAGAGTCCGAAGAAAGGATAATGTAATATGATAAAATCAATGTTAATCTTTATTTAAATTACCTGGAGATTATGCGTAACCTGCAGTGGGCGCTCGCCAGCTTGCAGCTTGGTGCAGTACTTGGAAGGAAAGTATCCGATCTTGCCCAAACACTTGCCTTTCCACCAGTCCGGATCGGTAGTGTCGATCACGGTGACCTTGTAGCCTGCCTTCAAGTCCAATTCGTCGGCGTGGCGCGATTTAAAGTTGTACAGGATCACATACAAGTTTGTTGGTAGGAGACGTTGGTGTTTCTGGACAAACATTTTAAAGTTTGACACTTTATTGTTTACGAAAGTTAGGTCAATAGGTTCGTCAAATATATGCAATTTGGTTTGGAGGTTCCCAACTTAAATAATTTCAGTGTCATATGGGTTCTTTCGCGAACACTTGCGGTTCACTTTTTGTAAGATTTGATTCGACAATATCTAGTATTTTCAGGTTGTATAGGTGCTGCTTTTTTTGGAGGATAATATTATTATTTAAATGCCACTAAAAATCTTTTTTATTACATCAACAAAAATCAGGGAACAAATTACATACAATATTTTGAATAGGTGGTTGTCAGTCGGATAAATTTTATTTGAATGAATTAAAAATAATATCACCATGATATTAAGGAATTAATTACAGATAAGTAGAATACATGAGTAAAAGTAAATTACAGTAGGTAAATCAAATGTGGCCAAATTAATAGGAAGAGTTTTCAATTTTTCATATGTTTTTATTTTATTTTATTTTTCACGTGTAGAAACCCCCTCGGGCCGTCACCGGGGTTTACAGCGGGGTGGTGTGTCAGAATCGGACCGACTAAAACCACACGGTGTGCCACTCTGCGCTTGTAATAGAAGGGATCCGGGAACTGCTGTTATTAAGACATCAGGACCCCTCCTAGCGCCTGCCCGCAACGGCACGGACACCACCTTCGGGTACATTCTCTATTTAGGCGACGTCCGGCACACGCGGACGTAGGCTGTGGTAAGCGCGCCTCCGCCCTCCGGTTCGCCGGCGACGGATAAGGTCCGAGTGGAGGTTTTCCTGCCGGGCCCTCTCCGCCGCCTCCTTCTGCAAGATGACGTCTTCACAGAAGGATGCGACCGCGGTGAAACATCTGTCACTGGCGGCCATGGAGCGAATGACGGCCGGTAGCGAGAGATCCCCCCCGATTACTGAAATGAGGACCCGGCGCTACGGCGCCCAAGCCGGGCAAATTGCCAGCGTGTGCTGAGCCGAGTCCTCACTGCAATCGCAGTGGTAACAGGCGGGACTCAATTCCCTCCTAGCGACCGAGTGCAGGTACTTCCCAAAGCAGCCGTGCCCGGAAACGACCTGCGTCAGCCGGAAGGAAAGGGTCCCGTGCTTCCGCCCTGCCCACTCGACGATGACCGGCTGGAGCGCCTCCACGGCGGCAAAGCCAGCACGTGGAGCCTCCAGCCGGGACGACCAACGAGCCATCGTGGCTCGACGAGCGGCCTCACGCCACTCGCGTATCTCTTCGGGCGGGGGCCGACTGCCGTTAACCGCCCGGAACTCAGTCATCCGCCGATATACTCCGGCGAGCACTTCCGCCTCCAAATCCCACGGGGGAGTACCGGCCAATACGCACGGCCCATCCGTCGAAACGGTGCGGTAACCGCGTATGGCTCTAACCGCCAATATCCTCTGAGGGCGTCACAGGCGTGCCCTATTCTGGGCGGTCAGAGCCGCCGCCTACACTGGTGCACCGTACAGTGCCATTGATCGGACAACCCCCGTGTACAGCGTCTCGTTGCGACGCTGGGTCCAGCCAAGTTGGGTAAAAGCGCCGACCAGCTTTGGAGCAAGCTGTCGGAAGTGCTCGTCGAAAAGCCACCTCCCGTCGAGGATCAGACCCAGATACTTCACCTGGGCCTGAACCGGTACGAGGACCGAATTGAAAACGATTGAGGCACCAGGGGGCGGACCACGACGGGGCCCATGGAATAAGAGGGCCTCCGTCTTATCCAGGATTAGTTTGTTTTAACCCTACGTTAGGGTTAGATGAGTCTCAGCAATAGTGGCCGGTCTAAAGAAAAAAGCCAAAGCCATTGCAATAAAATAAAGGGGGCGTGAAAGAGGACGTAGATAAAGGAGAATTAAACTCGTTGCGCCGACCCTAAATAAAAATGGGACAAAGGTAAGAAAATGTTTTTTTATGTCATAGGCGAGTAAACAAGCCGACGGAGTTTGGGTGTCAGGGACCTCACTCACTCGGTGAAAATCAACTAAAGAAATGCTTAACATCTGTTTTGTGTGACGCCGTTGTATCACTCCGTTCGAGCTTCCCCATTTATATCGAAACTTCTTTGAAAAGAATACCTTATTTTTTTTTTATTGTTTTTCTTGTCTTTTCCATTAGCCGTTGTCACCCTGTCACCGTTAGCCATCGTTGTCACCTGTATTTGTAGTAGGTAGCTGCGTTGCTCTTAACAGTCATAGCGAGATATTAAATACTTAAAATCCTTCTAAAGTTGGGGTTAAGTATTGCAAAAAAAGACCATTTTATATCTGAATGGTTAATATGGCGATAGTAGGAGGAACCAAGGTCTTCCGTTTTAATATATTGGTAAAGGTAATCAAACAGATACTTAGAGTTCTAACGAACTCTATCGGTCAGTGAACTCTATCTTTACTAGTTTAAAAATAATAACAAAATTTTGAAAAATTTACTTACACTATGTTGCTTCACTGGTGATGGACAAGGACTGGCACTATTCGAAGACAGGCTCTTATCAGGCTCATCGGGTAGTTCTACACTGCTCATGCGACCACCGCGCGCACTGAGCAACCTTCGACTTTGCACTGGCGATGATGGAGCTGGACATTTCACAGTTCAAAATTTTATACATGTATAAGAGGTAATGTAGAGTTAGACAATTTTAAATAAGACTTCAATAGTTGTATTCATATTTATTAAAGACAAGAAAGTTGTTGGAAGCGGTAATTGTCTAACACCGAAGTAGAAGTTGCCTTTGCATTTTGATAACGGGCCTCCGTTTGGTATCGAAACTAGTCGGGCCTCTTTGAAATTCACAAGTAACTAAAACTTCACTAAATATAAAATATTTTTTTTCCATCACTAACTAAAGTTAGCGGACTGTGTGGAACTCAATAAATTTCTTCATTTAAGTTCCAGAAGTCGGATGCTGCAATAATAGGACTTCTCTTAACAATGTGAGATTCAAATTTAAATATTGATTAAGAAATGAACTGCATACATCATTATATTATAGCAGGGAATTATCAGATAATTCGTATGTCTCAATTAATAGGGCAATTGAAATTTAAAGACAAATTATGTCATAATGTACAAGAATTCATGCATATTAAAACATGCTAACATTTATTGAACAAGAGTGATAAAACTCAAAAGAAGTATTTTAAATTAAATGCAACTTATCTATTCAACAACACAGAAAAATAATATTATATCAGTAAAGATGAGATTTCTAATTTCTGTGCATTTATTAAACCCGGTATTACAATGAACAATACCTGTTATAAAAGCTTAACGTTATTAATTGTACTTAAAAATATTCATTGAAAAGGAAATGGGTTTCATGTTCGCACTATCACATTAGTTACTGAACAAACGCTATTATTTAACTGTGTAAAGCCATTCAAATTAAATGATAACGTACATGAACGAGTGTAACTATGAATTGAGTAGTTATTTATTCTATTGAAGCCATGTCTCATGCAAACTGCCCTGCAGTTACCTAAAAAAACAAAAATTAAAAGAAATATAAATGGCATTCATAAAAAAAACTTTACTTACTATACATTGACACATTGAACAAAATCTTACTATTTAGCAATGAATTTAAATGATAATGATTTAATTTTGTGGCGGTTGAATTCCCGATTACAAATTTATTGTTGTTACTTATGCAATCACTTTTTATAACTCAAAATTGTTTGGTTATTTTGTTCACGTAGTCGCAGCATTCTTGTATAACGTACGAGACGAGAAATCTGCACGGACAGGTTGTTACTCACTTTAGAAACGTCGGATACTGCAAGGATGTCTAGACAGAACAAATAACCAGTGGATGGATACCTACCAAACGGTTTAATGCTAACACATATAAGCTAAGCCGAAGGGATAAACTTGAAAGGTGAACATTGCTTGTCCTTACAACACAGCTCGACATCAAGTACCGGAGTCCAAAGAACCATAGACAATAGCAACAAAGCTGTCTTTATACTTTCATCATGCTTGCTAAGCAATCTCGGGTCTGTGTGGCCTCGTAGTGAAATTTTTAAAAGAAAATAGGGCTTGTAAGCAGATATCTTATCGTAATTTTATTAAATAATCAGTCAACTTTATTTAATGACTATTAAGAGATAGATAGACTGTACCGTTTAGTAATAATTTTAACACCCGTTGACAAGCCCTAGCACAAAGTGAAAAAATAAAGCGTGAGGTTATTTGGACCCAGGCATGTTTATTACTGGCTTGTTCGTACATAGCACGCGGCTGCCCTGCGCGGGCTGCGGGTCGCGCGCTGGACGTCGCCTCAGCTCTCCACATTCCGGCGAATCCAGCGACAAACTCTTCATTCTAAGGTTCAACTTTTGGCGTCTCGGAGAATGCGGCGCTATAACATTGATGAAGTATGAGCTTTTAAGCCTGTACTCACCTACTCTATTTGTTTTATTTCCTTAAAATTCTTTGTGTCGGATAATTAAATGTATTTATGTTTCTTTTGTGACAGTTTAATAAAAGAACATCGTGATTGTGTCTTTTACTTTCTTAGTGAAACGTAACAAGTATATGTTGGGTAAGTAATTGAGTTACTTAAATGTTAATGACTTTTATAGTAAATGTTAATATAACTAAGACTGTCTGATTCACAACCATCATTTTTTTATGTTACAAAACAGCTTAAAGTTTTCACTATAGGGATTGTGATCAAGTCTTAATTAGTATAAACATCCGATACAGGCAAAGTATTATATAGAAAAAGAAACATCTAAAATCAATGTGCGTAAGCAGTGCAAATAAAAATAATTTTAAATAAAGGGAAGATGTGATCTAAACAGTGAGACAATAGTAAAAAACCTAACGGCTACAAGATTGGATGAGTTAATTTAACACTAGATACTATAGTGAAAGCTACATTTTGTTTTCACTTCAGTTGAGTGACTAGGTGACTACTAGGCGCTCAAAGTCACTAATAACAGATGCTTGTCATCAGCAGCTTTCAGATAGTAACAGATTGATGGTTCATTGTATGAATGAGGTTTGCTGACAAAATGCTCCTCGATGTAATGTATGTTTGAACCAACGTGGAATTATTCTACGGGGATTCGCTTATTGACAATATTGGTACCAGGTAAGGGACTGGTGCGGTCTGCTTGCCTCAACATTTGGGCACTCTTGGAGTTCTTCATTGAACCTGTGAGGACAAGTAAATAGGATCCAGTCTATAAATATTTTAGTACTATATCAATTTAACCCTTTCACAGACGTTGCCCTATTTTAAACAAAAATAAACAAAACGCTTAGAAGTCCTATAGAAAGCGTAAACAAACTAAACATCAATTAGCTATTAGGTAGTTGGGATTTATATGGAGATTAAAGTTGGGTGTTCTGTTATGTTAGTCTGATCATCGTGTTAGTTACAAGATTGTAGTTAAAAGTGAATGGTGATATCGCAATGCGATAGAATTGGATTTCAGTTTTGAAAGGCATGTAATAGCTTTGTGCAGTTCAAAGAAGTAAAAGTTTTATGTCAAAAATATGTACTGCCGATAAAACGCATGCATACCTACATATCGGCGCTGCTTCAAGCCATGCACCACTTACATGATACGCACTCGCAGATATGTAAAGACGACTCCAAGTAAGAGTAAAAAGAGTAAAATAGAGTGCTTAAGGGTAACTAGAGAAAAGGAAGCATAGTTTTTGACGTTTATTGTAACAGTAACAATATATTTATAATATATATCACAGTACGCGGGGCGCTTCGGGGTTATTATAACAAAGACATTCGGGAAGCGACTATTGAGGACAGGCCATACTGCCACGCCATTCGCCTGTGAGGCGATGTAAGATAAATGATTTCGTTCCCTTGGGATAACTAGGTCGCCTTATTATTTCTTGCGGACGCTCGCTGTGGACTTGAGGATTGAAGGCGGTGGATCGCCATTTTCGTTAAAGAAACATAGAGGCTGTCCGAAAGGTCGCGTCGTCGTCTCCTCCGTCTCTGTAAAGACAATGTACGGACAAAACAAAATAAATAAAAGGTTAAATAAAAATTAAATTAACATTAACATAAAAATAAACATTTATAGGAGCATAAACAAGGTGGAATATTTGGAACGAGTATGACATTTCGTCGAGTTTGTTAATAATGTTTATAGATTCAGGAAGAGGTAGATGAGCCCAGTGATTGGACAGGGTAAGCATCTAAGGTGCTTGTCGAGCTTCGACTATTTTAATCCTATTTGTCTAAACTAACACTGCAATTGCAAAATAAAACGTAAATGAAAACAAAATACTGAACACACAACGAAAATGTGGCACCGTAACCCTGAAGTTGGGACAAACAAAGCTGTGAGACTGAGAGAGCGATGCGCTACAGCCGAGGGCGCGTACTTTCCGGAAGTGAAATGGATCGGTGCTGCGGCGAGCCGCGGCGCGATCGGGAGCCCCACATGGACAAACTCTTGACGCCGGCGAACAGTCTGCGCCGCATGCCGCCATCGGGACGCGTCGCCCCGCCTATCGACAAGCACCGCTCAGTATCGACCGCACCCCGCCCCCGTCCTGCGCCCGCGACTATACAATGCGTGCAAAAAACAACTCGACACTACTGAAAACGAGTGAATTTGAGTGAAGCTGCCGGTCGGCCAACGGCGGCCGCCAGCCTACGGCGCGACTCGAGCGGAGAAGCGAGCGAGCTCGGGTGCGGCGCCAGACCTGAGCTAGAGGAGACGGGCTGCGGTGCTACGGCCAGTCCGGCGGTCGGCCGCGCCGGCGAGCGCGCGGGCGGTGGCTCCTCCGGGGCCGACACGCGCACTACTGGGCCCCCGCGCGATTCCCCACCCGGCTTCGCTATTTCGTTGGCCCGCTTCAGAACTTGATAGGTTTGATCCACTTCCTCCTCTGAGCATCAGAGATCAGGGTCAGTCTCGCGAACGTTATTATGGGCACAGAGGACTCAAACTGTTAATTTTGTGGTAGATGGTGTTTGGAACTCGCTTGATAGTATACCTTTTATGTACAGTATTTGCTAATGAACTGGGATTGTAGAATGTTGTTAGTTATATAGAACGCTCGGGGTCACTCCTATTCGTTACCGTACCCTCGTCATAGTAGCTATCAAAATCGTCATCGAAGTCGACCGATCCCTTGAATGAGATCTTGGTTAATCTCTGTCCCGGCAGCCACCCGTCCTCCACCCCTGGACAATGTGAGTTAACTTCTGATAGTGTTTGCACAAGTTATTATGATCGACCCATGTATATGCAAGTACAGTGAGGTTTTGATGTTCTTTTAATAGCAAAATTTATTTACCGTATGAGTAGTAAGTAGTATTTTTAAGTATTGATGTGAATTATTATCTTACTTGAGTATTTTATAATCATAATATATAAATGCTATGTTAGTTGTACTTCTTAAAATAAATATAATATTTACTTACCATAACTTCTGTACGCATTAGCTAATAGGTAGGAAGTAAGTATTACTCTTAGTTAGACATTATGTTTGTTTGATTTTCTTTAGGCTTTGTAAGTGACATCACTGAGCTGATCAATTAGAATGGTAGCAAGAAGTTATAAAAATGGGACTCACTTTCGTCGTCGAACGCTGTTTCTTGTACCCTGTGGGATTCTATCTCAGATGTGCTCTTCTGTCTTCGTAGCAGTCGTGACTTTGTCACACACTTGCCGACCTGTGGCATACAATCAGTGTGCACGTTCATCTTGCAGAGGCGACAGCGCAATCCCTGTCTAGTATGCCCTGAATAAACAAAAAAAAGTACAGTAAGAACCCTTAATGATTATTTATGTAGATGAAGTGCAGAAACCTAAAACATATAAATCATATGTGCTATAAAGTCAAAAATTATGTAAAAATTACTACATGAAGCTATAGGTATCCAGTATATCCAGTATATGTATATAGGGAAGGGGGGGGGGGTATATTTCATGGTACAAAGTTCTATACAATGATAGTGATAAATAGAAAAATATACTGGCGCTTCAAGCAATTTTAAAAATAACTAAATACAACTATAATAATCGATGGGAACACATTTAATTTACATTTAATACAGCAACATGTCGAATACAAAGAATTTATTAACTTCTGTACTATTACAAATCAATCAAGTGAAATGCGTTTAGTAAGCATATGAACAAGAGTCTATTTACTTTAATGAGTTCAATGATTACCAAATATATGTCCCTATATCCTTATAAAATATATAGGTACCTAACTATTTACATACAAAGGTTAGTACGTCTATATGTAGTTATAAACGTAATCTAACCAAGACCCTATTCTTAATCTACAATTTTTTTTTGTTTGTATAATGATATTACTTTATTACAATATACGACTAGATATAATGTCATCATAAACCTTTAGTAGTCCACTGCTGGACATAGGCTTCTCCTTAGACATCATTAACTTTAAATTAATTATCATACAATTCTAATTAATTGATCTGTCAAAATTGTTTAAAAATTAAACCTTAATTAAAAACAAAAAAGTATTTGCCTTCTCATTATTTTATCTATACATCTATACAAATAAATAAAATTGAAGTGTCTATTTGTAATGTCAAAATAATAGGTTTTTTTCATGCTCACATTTCATGCTCGGTTATTTGCACGATACCTATACGGTAGCGTATACGACTGCTGTTCTGAGGTCTCGGATCGGACCAAATGTTTGTATGCTCTGCTAGTATTTGTTACGGAGTTTGGGTGTTTTCCATGTATAATTTGTATATATTTACAAAAAAAAAGTATATAAGTATATCCTATCAGTCAATTTAAGTTTCATAGTAGCTCTGCTTAGTTTGAAACTAGAGGGCGTTGTGTTTTAGATATCCGAAATATTATAAAATATGATTAAATTATTATATAGGCGGGAGTACGCTCTTTTCTCAAAAAAATAGGCATCATAATTCTATTGTGCAATTTCATTTTCAATGATTTCTATTGAACGCCAACATTTTTTTCCAACAACCACGTATCTTCGTGAATGGCCTGTTTGAGAAGAGGTGCTGCAAGAAACTTAACATCCGGCCTTTTTTAAATATATTCATACATCATTTAAAAAATAGGTTTTATCCACGGCTCACCCGCGTGTAGGTAAATCAGTTATCGCGGTTAAAATTTGCTTATGTCCTTCCTCAACAATCAAGTTCTCCATGCCAAATGTCATTAAAATCGGTTCAGCGGTTATTGATTTCCCATTTAAACTTCCACCCCCCTTTTCACCCCCTTAAAAACTGGTTTCTGGGATAATAACTATCCTATGTCCTTTCCTGGGACTCAAACTATCTCTATACCAAATTTCATCTAATTCGGTCCAGCGGTTTAAGCGTGAAGAGGTAACAGACAGACAGATAGACAGACAGACAGACACTTTCGCATGTGTAATAATAGTATGGATTTTGTCAATACGTATTATAATACAGGTACATATTTTGTGTAGTACGGTAACATTCAGCTACATTTGCAGCCTGACATTTTATATTTGACATTTCTAAAAATGAGCGCTTATTTATATATATAAATGTTAAGTTGGTTTGTGTAAGCTTCAAAAACTCAGAAAGTTCTATACCGATAGATATCATTTTGACACGATTTACAATTCACTTCAAGGATTGTTTTTATGTTATCATTCTGTTCCACATTTCTCATCATTGCAACCATAATGAGCCACAGCAAAGCGGGGACGGGGCAGAGCTAGTTACGTATAACAATTACTGATAAGCATTTAAATAGGACACTATAATATCTTATATCTAATTTAAAGTTAGAGTAAACGTTTGAAGGTCAAATTAAAGTTTTACAACATTATATCTTCCTTTTGTTTCTTGTTTGCACTCTATTTTATAGTTTTACTAAATTTAAATGGCAGTTTTAAAAAGTTACATTACTATTCCATATTATTTTTAAATTCATCCATCCAATTCCAGTTATTTATGTCAGTAACATAAAAACTCTTTGTCGCTTTCGTTAAAACGAAAAATACTTTAGTTTTGCATTTACTCTGTGGTTTTGTTCATGACCTTCGAAGTGGTCGCGTCATTGTTATTTTCATAGTAAATTTATTTTAATCAAATTACATAGAACTGCCTAAAACTCTTTTCCTTCAGATTAAATAAATATAACGAATCTGCGCATATATTCCTTACATATTTCAATATAGGGGAATATAAGATAAGCAAGTTAGTTACACGAACTGCGCCCCATGTTTATGAATCATTACTCCGATTCAACAAAGTACGTAACAGCAAACATACCAAATTATTATTGTATAATTACTAAAGTTTTATGGGGGTCGTTAGCCTCCCTAGGCTCCCAATCAAATATATAGTTAGCTCATGTAATACTTATGTAATTACTTTGTGGTGACATTAGTTGCCTTTATACCTTGTTACTTTGTCATTATGGTCCAATATAGAAACATCCGAATTAGTTCTTGTTTTAGAAGATATATTATTGTATCATTTTTTTTACACATCCAAAAATATAATACTACAAACCTTTTAAACTCCTCCACCATTACAAATATATCTTTTTCTTAATGGACAACTCGCGCATCTATACAAATAAATAAAATTGAAGTGTCTGTTTGTAATGTCAAAATAAAAAAAAAACATGCTAACTTATTGTCACATGCGGTTATTTGCACGATACCTAAGCCTATAAACTAGTTTAAATATTCTTTGTCTGTTTGTTCTGGACAATGGCTGGACAGATATTGATAATATTTTGCTACCAGGTAGTCGTCTATTTAAGGAGTAACTAAGGCTATTTTTTGTCCCAGGAAAACCCTATCAAATTTTGCCCAGTCCGGGAATCGAACCCGAGACCTTATAGACTGCAGTTGCGTACCGTGCTACACTGCTAAGGCAGCTCTTTTGAAATTCCTCGCGAACGAAGTCATGGGTACCAGCCAGTTTGGAATATATCCTGTGTCGCGGGGGACTTTACAAACATACATAAAATGAAATTACACAAAGAACACCCAGATTCAGAAAAACCGCTTAATCCACTACGCTATCCAGGTGTGGAGGGGAAAACCCGTCCCGCCCTGCAATCGCAGTGGTGACAGGCGGGACTCTATTCCCTCTTAGCCACCGAGTGCAGGTACCGAAGCAGCCATACCCGGAAAGGAGTTAGTCGGAAGGAAAGGGTCCCGTGCTGCCGCTCTGCCTGATTTGGTTTGCCAGTTGTTTAGGTAACTACCTACATATATTCGGCTTAATTAGCTTTTCTTAATACAAGTAATAGTCTTTACATTTGGTAGCTTCTCAAATCGTCTTAGATATATTATTTTATACAAGCTCCTACCGATTTTCTGAACAATATTAAAATTATTATAATTTTTATTATTTGCTTTGATGCTTTTTAACATTACATACATACATACATTTCTACATAGAACATAATAACTATTTTTCTAAACCAGGCATCTAATTCTCAAACAGCACATAAATACTACCGCAATCCCAAAATATTGGCACACGGGTAGCTAGACAGCCGTTTTTAATCATTTGCTAGTACAGACACCGGCATTAATTCTTTAAATAAAGGCGATGTGTAGTGGTGTACTTTAAGGAAACTATAAAGACATTGTTTATGATCTTAGTAAAACACTTCTATAATCTAATAAGTGTTTTACTACGATCATACGTATAGTTTTTCCATCTGCTCGTATGTCAAAATACTTATAGTCCTTTAAATAATCTTGACCTTCCGTGTGCTAACGGATTAAGAATACGGAGTGTCACCACCCCTATTCATCCCGACTGCCGAGCCGACTGAGAGAGCAAACTACGCAAGACAACAGTACTGCAAAGAGAAGGAAAACTTGACACATACTGACATACCCTATACCAGGGGTTCCCAAAGTGGTCGATAGCCTTATCTTCCCGGGAGTAAACGAAAAAATAATAAACGAAAATTGATTTTGGGGATCGACGAGGTCTAAAAATCGACCCCTATTCAATAGCACAAGTTGTAATTTGAATTTTGAAACTTGCAAGATACTGTATTAATTGTGTTACATATACCACCATGTTATGAGAATGACTAATATTTTAGTAGGAAGTATCATTGTTGTCTGTACTTTTGAAAAACTGAACAAGTCGATCAACGTGCAGTTATTTGGTGAGGGGTCTAAGGTTTGTTGTTCATTTTGGAAAAGGGGCTCTTGCGAAAAGCAGTTTGGGAATCACTGCCCTATACCAACTCGTCTGGCTAGCGTCGTATATGTAGGTAGTAGGTCAAAACCTTATTTCTAAGAGGCCTATGTCCAACAGTGAACTATGAAAGGCTGTTGATGATAATGACGACAGCTCTTGACCGCTGAAACTGAAAAGACTTTTTCAGTTTCGTTTCGCCAGCTGGACATGGTACGAACAGTGTCCGTCTTTTATCTTCTGGAGGATAACATTTTGTTCTTACTTATTTATTTTATGAGGAGACACAATTTGTGAAGAACAAACGTGATCGATACTCGTGTCGGCTGATACTTATACAATATTTGTAATATAATAAATAGGAATATAATAAAATTAGATTTTTATAATATTTACGCACTTTGTGAAATTAGGCCAACTAAAACCGTGGCTGTTCACATCGATCGATATGGAAATTTAAGCAATGCTAAGCGTAATCTACTAAGTAGATTAGTAGTTGACCCCAATACGCACGACTATAATGAGGATGGCAAGTGCGAACATTTTTTTAAAACTTAATTGTCAGGAATGAAAAATATATGCATCATACATACACCCACATCACATCACCGGAAAGGTAGAAAGAGGAGTATTAAACGGTCACATTTTGCCAATTATAACATTAGCGCCATTTACGTAATATGGGGCAAGTTTATTGTTGTCCTCCGGGGACTAGAGATTAGAATTGAATTAAATTGATTGGGGAACATGCTCAAGGTGATCAGTAGACATGAGACAAAATCAGAGTGAACTGTGATTTATCATTCGATTTTTACTTTTGTTGATATTTACTCACTCGTTGTTGCCAATAAGCTGTTATCAGACGTTATTTAACAGGAACTCTAATAAAAAAAAATATGTAGGGAATGGTAGCTATATATAATAAAATAATTACTAGATTTACTGTTAAATAGGCGGATTAAGGTCTTTATACATTCATCGTTAGAAAACAGCGTTGGCAAAAACACGTGAGTAAGTAACAACCCTAACGTACCCCTACGTACGAAAATATCGAATGATGAATCAAAGTTCATTCAAAGTTTACTGTAATTTTATCCCATGTCTAGTGGTCAGGACCACATAAATAGACTATTGGCAAAAAGTCCGATTTCCCTAGCTTATAACTAAATTTACAAGATATATGATATATCTTGTAAATTTTGTATATATGACTAGCTGTATCCTGCCATGCGTCGTGTCATCGCGCCCGTTTGTGACGGATTAAGCATACGGAGAGTCACCGCCCCTTTTCATCCTGTGGATGTCGTAAGAGCCGACTAAGGGAGCAAACTACGCAGGACAACAGCACTGTAAAGAGATGGAAAACTTGACACAAACCCTATACCCACACGTCTGGCCAGCGTGGTATAGTAGGCCAAAACCTCGTTTCTTAGGAGAGGCCCAGTGGCGGATTCAGGGAGGTGGTTCACGGGCTCAACCTTATCTTACCAATTGTCCCCACTTTAATAGTAACTACTTGTAGTGTTCTCTACGTTTAAACTATTAAAATCGTGCTCTGGCAGTTTACAACCTAACGATGTCATTAAAGAATTCGCGAAAAGCTATCCGAGGAGAGAAGAGAATGGTTATGCGTTATGCAAAATAAAATGTTGTGTGTTTTTTTTATTGTTTTTTCTTGATAAAACCTACCCTGACCAAGGTCAAGCCCCTCCCAAACCAAAATCCTGAATCCGCCAATGGAGAGGCCTATGTCCAGTAGTGGACTACTAAAGACTGTTGATGTGATCACACATTGTGGTTGCATTGATGAGAAGGGAACAAAACTGACGCGAAAACTAATTAAGAACTGTATTTGCAGCGGGTATTACCTATAATAGTGTGTCAAAGTTTGAGCTCAATCGGTGCAGAACTTTTTGAGTTTTGAAGGGTACACAGTAAGTTGATTTAAACTTGATATTTATATAGACACAGATATATATATATAAGAAGATGTATAATTCAGCAAAAATATGCATTCATAAATTACCAAGTCGCAAATTATTAAAGTTTTTTTTTTTGTAAAATATATGCAATTGGTTTCATTATGTACCAATGATATTTTAAAACTAGGTTCGAATATACGGAGACTATGCTGAACCCGATTTGTTCGGACTAAATTTAATCCTCGGTATCTAGAAAGATATTTGTTCAACATCCGCACCGGCCGGATAGCGGGTAGAGGAAGTTTACATAAATCACATGACAAAATAAAAACCGTAACTTGATTAGGGTTTCGTACCTCAAAAGAAAAAATAGAACACCTATAAGACTTTCACTTTCTTGTACGTCTACGTTGCGGGAAAAGTTCGGCAAAACCTGAGATACTCCTTTTTTTTTTTTTTTTCCGTGCGGAAATCCCCTCGGATACCACCTCTCGGTGGCATGTCGGACACGAACCGACTAAAACCGCACGCCTTCGCCGGGTACTAATAGCCGGGGAACCAGGTATACCCTAGAAAGGAAGGCCCTGGTGCCCCGACATACCTCGGGTCATCTACAGACGAGTAGACGACCCCCGCCCCGTGTGGGAACCCCATGTTCCCTGTGCTCCCTGGAAGCGAGCGCGCTTCGCAACGCGCTCGCCGCCACCCCGGCCTGCTTCTGCTAGGGTGACAGATGGCCTCACCTGTCACCCCCAGGCCTGCGCTTATGGAGGACGGAGGTCGTTCTGCGACCTCCGGTGCCTGAGTCGCCTGCGCTGCCTGGCCCGTGCCCGGGCCTGGCGGGCCGGGAGAGTTCTAAACCTCTCCCGGTCCCGCTCCGCCGTCTCCTTCGCGAGCATAACTTGCTCGCAGAAGGAGACGGCAGAGTTCCACGCACTCTCGCTCCGCACGATAGCCGCAATCAGGCTATCGAACCTGAGATACTCCTGAGATTCCTGAACTAGTTATAATATCTACCTACAAATTTACACGGAACCTTCGGTGGGCGAGTTCGGCACGCACTTGTCCGGATTTTTTTATTAATTTATCGATTGTTTTTAAATTATTGTTACTTAGTTTAAAATTGTATTGTTACTATGTTTAAAATTGTATTGTGTTTGTCCTGTCAATAAATGTTTGTCCTGTTAATATTTTATTATAAAAATAAAATATATGAGTACTTTAAGTGAAATTGAGCGGTCCATATTTTTCGTAAAAAAGTGTGTGCGATCATTAAAATTGCAAAATCCTTAAATCAAAGCATTCTGACACTAATTTAGGTATCTATGCCAATAACACAATAACAATGAAAAGTTAAAATAAGACTCAATGTTTTTCAATAAAGTAAGTAAATTAACAAAGAAATCTTTACCCAATAATATCACGTAGAAATTCAAATTTTATTTTCTATGTTTGAAGTCAATTTTATTAGAACGATGACCGGTCTGGTCATCGTTTGCATACAGTAAACAAAATATTTGCTGTAAATATTTTTATAATTTTCATTAGTAGCTAAGGGCAGTCGAAGCTCGACGCTATATTGTTGGGTTTATATACTGTTTTATCCATTAGGTAAATTGACTTAATGACAACAATTCCCTCATGTGTTTTAAATCTGAAGTTTTTACGTGGCAAAGGTACTTCTGATAACCAGGACAGTCTATTTACATTTTTTTTTCTTATTTTTTAAAGACAACTCCCCCATTATGAATATATCCTGTGTCGCGGGGGAATTTAAAAACATACATGAAACGGACACAAAGAACACCCAAACTCAGAACAAAAATTAGTGGATCACACTAAGTGTCGTCCCGTGTGGGGTTTGAACCCACAACACTCGGCGTAGTAGGAATAGCCGTGGCGACCGCTTAAACCACTACGCCATCCGTGCAGTCATTGACTATGTTCGACCGACTCAGATTCAAAGTTAGCTGGATAACAGCTATCCATTTCATCTCTACTGTTTCCAACATCTTTTCGTAATTAACCACATAAAACTTTAAAAACTTGATGTCATAAATAACGATATCAGATATTGGATCTTTGATAACGAACCGTATCGACGTCAAAAGCTTCAAAGCCTCTCATGGCTGTACTCGTGATAGCAATAAATTCGTGTCAGGAATTTGTGTAGGTTTTTAAGTTGTTTGAACTTTACATGTATTATAATTTTAGCCTAGCCTGCTTGCCAATACTGAAATCGATAGGCCTGTTGGTCTAGTAGTAAGTGACCCTCGATTCCCACCCAGGACAAATAATTGTGTGATGAGCATGCTCATTTGTTCTGTGTCTAGGTGTTATTTATCTATATTATGTATGTATTTAGAAATATGTAAGTATGTATATCAGCAGTCTGGTTCCCATAGCACAGGCTCTGCCTAGTTTGGGATCAGACGGACGTGTGTAAGATATGTGAAATTATTATTATTATTACTAAATTTTCTGTCGACTCATAGGATCGTGGTGAATTATTATAGTGAATCCTTCTACTTACAAGGTCTTCAAAATAATTATTTACCTCTAACCCGCAAATGTTCAATTTGTAAACATTTTTGTCAAACTTTAGCTCTGTTGTAGGTATTCATGGCATTGATGTGCCTCAATAATAGGTGTGTACCTCGAGTCAATAAACCTTGTCACCTTTCGTGCACGGCATTGCGAGAAATTGTACACCTAACGTGTTTAGGTACACCTATAAAGATACCTCGAGGTTTAGCAATTTCACATTAAACGAGGGTGCCTGGCACAGGTTGTGTTCGTTAACACAGCCCTATAATCATTGAACAATGACATTATTTGTACCCTTCTTACAATTTGATTCGTTTCGATTTAACTTACCAATATAGATAAGTAAAGGTGCAGTGTTACTGTGTTCAATGTTAAACTAAGTACCCTTAGTAATTATGTTTTGTGTGCAATCGTCGTTAGATCGCTCTTTTACAAAATATTCAGTATTAGCCAGACCAATATTTTAAATGCGAATATGAGATTTTGGGCGGCTTGTCAGTAGTGGGTACAGTACAGTACAGTACCGGTCCCAAGGAATACAAAACAGGCAAAAATGAATATCAACAGTTGTGTTAATCACCTAGTTCAAGTAGATGGAGCAAAAGCTTTGTATGAAATAATTTGCATTAGTAAAACTGACAAGCGGGTGTCGTGATATTAGTGACTAGCGTCACTTTTATAGTGGATTCGGCGGTATCAAGCGAGATCTGAAACTTGAATTTCAGTTCATTTATATAATACATTATCTAAGTATCTTGAAATTCGTACCGTACCGAAAACCGTACTGTATTTATTTGTGAAGCATTAAATGGAGCGCATGCAGCTGTAACGACAATATTTACGTTAACATTTCTGCGTATTTTTGTTTCTTACCTCTGAGTACCTGTGAACAAACATCACACGGCGTGATTTTCTTGTAGGTGTATTCTTGAAAGTTATGTGCCTCGGAGTCCCCGCCGCCACGCATTGCGTCTCTTGCAGCTCCATTCCTCCTACAAAATTATGCATATTTGTTAATAAAACCCAATAGTTATTATTTGCTTTCACCGGTAATTAGAACATAAACTGTATCGAATGTAATGCTATAATAGATATAATCGAATCGAATGTAATGCTATAATAGATAGATATAATTGCTATTAAACTAAGCCCGAATAAACTTGAATTTATAGATATCGGTAACTGAATTATAAATATTAGTCAGTTGATAGCAATGTTTTATATTTCATGAAGTGTAATGATGAACACAAGTGATGAGCTCTTAATGTGCTCGATATACTGTTTGTTTATATCTATTTATGTACGTATTCAGTGAACACTGTTATATATATATGTCATTGATATCGACCGATGACGTTCATGGTCAAGGTGAGGCACGGTGTGAATCAGTCTGTAAGGTAGACGGTAATCAGTCTATAGTCGATGGTACAACACATAATGAGCTTTCAGTAATGGCCTTGATTCTCCTTGACGTTTGTTCAATACCGAACTGTTACCCACATAATTATTTTTAAATAATACATCAACATGGAATCAGGTTTGATAACAAAACAAGCATTACATTTTTACTGATTGCGAAATTAATTTAAAGCCGAGGGAAACGAGCACAATTAAAAGGTTACAAGCGAATTACTTGGCGAAAGTGTGTTTCTTTTGTAAAGCAAAAGACGGTGAAAATTAAGCACTATTTTAATAATTGTTTTGTGTTACATCTACAGTTTGAACATGCTGAATTTTAGGATTGTTTCTACGTGAAAAGATTATGAGCAGAAGTCCAATACTTTTGGTTGAAATTAAATGTTACAAACATTCTCACACCTACGGGGCACAATTACCTCATCGCCATAACCGTCGACACCGCGTGGTACATTTGATTTTTTCTTTATAGATGCAAAAAGAGAGAAACATCAAGATGAACATAACACGAAATAAACGTGACATAATATACTTTACAATTTGTCAATGATGTGCTGAAACCTGTGAGATAGCGCTGTGTTTGACAACCAAGTGTAAATGTTTAAATCAGTAAAGGTTTCTGAGGGCTATACTTATATAATTGTATTCTATCATCACAGATTACATTGGCATATTGTTAGTCGTTTTATTATCGGAATGTAGGCTAGAATTACCACTCATTTATTAAGGTTTTTTATTGCAAACATGAGCTTCTAATGAAATGACTTACACAATAGTAATATGATAACAATATGCTTTCACTAGACATTAGGCATGACCAAATTTCTTAAGCTGCTTCAGAATGGATGTTTGATAGTATTTTATACAATAGGTACAAGGAACATAAATACATAAGAAATATTTTGAAGCTAAGTCTTTCATTAGCACGAGTCTAATGCCGCATATATAGTTTCAGAAAAAATCAGCAAAAGCAACATCCTTTTGCTGTGATGCCTGAACAGTGTAGGTACAACAATTATCACCAAAAATTCCAAAATAGCCATTATCATCACCATTTGCTGGTTCCAGAGCAGGGGTAGTTAAAATTCCAGAGCTCTCTTAGGATATCAATAATGTGTATGACAGAAACCCTAAACGCAAGGTAACTCGCCATGGTTGCAGTATTAGAAGCCTTAGCAAAAGGTTAATCAATTAAATGTGTAATGTCCTATAAATACAACCATATTTAGGCATTTATTAGTATTAATAAATAACTTGATAGTGGTAAGGTCAAAGTTTCAGTAATGTCATTATAAACTAACAAATTTATGGTATGTAACCTCCTTTCTACGGAGAGGCTTATGTTCAGCAATGAAATGGCCAATGTTCAGCAGTGGAATATTAAAGTTTGTTGATGTCATAAATCTTAAAATCATTAGGTAATGTTTCAAGTATATTTTTATAATGTAGGTTGCAAACGAGCAGACAGGTCACCTGATGGAATTGAGTACCGCCGCTTATGGACATGGGTCTTTGAGGATGCCTTCCCCACCTGGGGTTAGGTTAGTGGGGGTAGGGGTTGCGGTACTCGGTATGAATATTTTCATATAAACATTTAAATATGTGTAACCACAATTACAATGCGCTTGATTTTAAAGTATGGCAATTATAGGTCACCTACCTTCCTAAGGTTTACGATGCCAAAGGTTTAATATACTTACACGTGTTTTTATACAATAGATTGTGTCTAGTATTTCCATTGAAATAGCATTCGTTAGATTTAAAATGGAAAAGTAATTCATATGAACGAAATACCATTCGCTTTGTATTGTGTAGGTAAATACTTCTACAACGTTGCATGCATCTCGTTATCTGGAGTTTTCTTATTTGGATAAAGCTTTCACCGTATTGTCAGCTTTGAAATTTTCTTACTTTCTATAATATTGTATAGAATTTGTTTTATTCTTCAACACCTAAGTAGTTTTAACTCCAAGCATATTATTATTGCCTTTACATTATTATCAACTTGGTTAAGTCCATTCAGAAGCCCTACATGAAAAGCGAATACTTGTTAACACTAATCCTATTTACAAACTTACTAAAATTCTATAACGTAACGAATATGTAGTCAATATATTGTAATCCGATTTTTCTAATGATCTTGATTCACGGCATTTCCTATATTTATGATCACCTAACACCGACGGCACTGGTTTACTCCTACTTCTTTTATCTGTTTGATTTTGAACCGTTGTCATCCCAAAGTACGCGACAATTAAATAAAATATGCACTATTTTTGCAACTAGTCACTTAAACTATAATAAAATTTAGACATTAAGGTTTACATTTTTGAACAACTAAAAATTGTAGGTGATAGTTAGATAGGTGAAGTGCAGGTGAACCTAAAAATAGCTTGAAAAGATGACAAATTTCTATACATTAATCTTGGTATTTTAATATGTTCATGGGTTATCTTACGTTTTTATCTTGTTTTTTTTAAATAAGTTAAAAACTATTACGAACACACTGTTCATAAAACGTTTTTTCGTTGAGTGTTGAGTTTTGGAAATAATGAATATATTTTATTGAACCTTTAAACATTTGTGAACTTTTCTCGTATAGTATCGATATTAGTTCAAGAGCTAAGCAGTTATGAAATACGCTATATACAGGTAAATACAATGTTTTCTTTAAATATTACCCTTGAAAGTTAGTTAGGTTCGTGGTAAGTTCATATTTAAAATTTAACTAAGTTTAACATCCATTTTGATAATATAAATGAATAAAAAACTGTAACCTGTGATGTTCTGAATAGTCATGCTTTGAAATAACTTTTTATGAATAATTAGTCAATGTTATTAAAAGCGATAATAGACAACCGTTAACATACTTGTCTGGTGGGGCAGCATGGGGTGGAGGGACACTGGGCGGCTTGAGACTCCTGAACGCCTTTAGCCATTTGTTCTTCATGCTTCCTGCTGATGATGACGACAGTTTACGATCTACTGCTGTTGCGCCACTGTCCGCTTTTGCTGCAAACAGCTCTCGCTGGAACAAAACAAAGTACTTAACGAAAAGGAAAAATAATTGCTAAGTATTTATTAAACACGGATTTTCTAGTGAAACCCGGAAATTTCTGAAAGTTGGCCCATTAAGAGAACGGATGAGAGACGCCTGAACGAATGCTGAGATGTGTGGTGTGACTCCCAAGGACAAGGTTAGGAATACGTATATAGGAGGGAGTCTCACAGTAGTCGAAGTAAGTGTTAGGTATGGAAGTTGAAAAATACAGGAGAAGAGGAAGACCAAAGAAAAGGTGGATGGACTGTGTGAGTGAGGATATGGCTAGGAAGGGAGTAAACAGTGAGATGACGAATGATAGAGTAGAATGGAAGGATCATACTTACTGCGCCAACCCCAAATAAAAATTAGGAAAAGGGTAGGCTAATAATTAGGATGTAAGGTCAACAGCTAAATCAAGTACGAGTACTACTCCTACTTTGCTAATATTTAGGTACAAGTTATTGAGCTCATTCGCACACTAAAAGTTACGATAATGAGTTAGTATAAAGTTCTCACCCTATGGAACACACATTTTAAGATCCACTACAGGACATAGCCCTTTTATGACACCGAGTTTTTTTTTCGTTGACACCGGGTTTTATGTGAGGGGGCAAACGAGCAGTTGGGTCACCTGATGGTAAGTGACTAACGCCGCTCATAGTCATTGAACTCAAGTCACAAGAGCGTTGCCGCCCTTTCAGTCCCTCCCCGCAGAATCAGGGAGGGTTTTGGGCTCCGGTAACCTCACTCACTCTGTGAAAATCAATGAAAAAGCTGCTTAACACTAATTTACTGTGAGGCCATGGTCCCACTCTGATGAGACCTGGTCTATTTGTGCTGAAGCATGTCTGTCCCACGATAATGTTGTTTTGTGAGTGTTGTAATTTAAAAACCACAGATATACCTTTTCTGACAGACAAAAAATCGGCGTAAGGGGTCTATGAACCCGGTCGGAACGAAATTCCTTTCGCTTGTTACACATTTTTCGATCTCGCTCCAATCTGTTCTGAGCGTGTAAGGAACTTAAGGAACTTCGTTCCAAAAATCAAAATGTGTATTGTTATAACATAGTTTTTGATTACCACATAACGGTATTCAAAGTACTTTTATCTGATATATTCTATGAAAATCCATTTGATTAAGTGGTTACTATTCAAATTTGTGTAGCCTATGTAAGTAATTACCGAACCCTCGACACGTAAGAGTTAAAGTGAAGCCTAGCATAACATTTATATTGAATTCTTTATTGTTTTACACTTATCATAAAAGCAAAAGTTAAAACTATTTCCTTTTGTCGGATTTTTATTATGTTAGTATAAACATGTCCTATGTCAATGCAATCACACATTGACCTTCACCCGATTCAACATTCCGCTGGTTAAACAGTCCCCAATTCGTGAAAAGCTTTACGTGATACGTGATGTTGTGATACACGTACGTGAAAAAAACAAATTATACAATTAAAGGAATATGAAGAGTCGGTGTCTATATCTAATCCGGATATTTAAATTTTTACATTTACTTATATGGAAAAAAAAACAATTTTTGACAATTTGGCCTCTGCTTGTTTGTTCCAGCTAAAGGAGAACTGGTATACCGATTTTCTCAGGATTTTGCTATGAAAAAGTTGGTGTCATAAGGAGTAACTTAGGGTACTTTTTTTATCTTGATTATTTTCCATTAATATTAGGATTATAAAAACCAAAGTATGTCTGTCTTTTGTTGCCTCTTCACGCTTAAACCGCTGAACCAATTTAGGTGAAATTTGGTCTAGAGATAGTTAGATTTAAAAATAAGTTACTGAACTTAACGTTAGGTATTTCGAAATTTCGGTGTGTCCGAGTAGGCTTAAACCTAATCGACTAGAATCCAGTAAAGTGGTTAGTTACGGTACCTGGACACTTATCCTATAAAAGCTTAGTTCTTGGGAGAGTTGCACTTAAACCATTAAACTGGATTACGAGATTTCTTAGGTTTACAGATACACAAATTGTTGTTCTGATTCTGGGTGTTCTTTGTGTCCGTTTTATGTATGTTTGTAGTCCCCCGCGACACAGGATATATTCCTATTGCGGGAGTTGTCTTTTTTAAAACAAAACAAAAAAACATCAAGTACCTAAAACTGATATTATAATTACCTTCTTATATTATAGATACCTTTGCCCTATCAGCTATCAAGGCTCAACATTCAGTTTCAAATCTAAGCACAGCAGTGGCAGCTGATCTGACACCTGACCAGTTAACCCAGTCACCTCCATGACGGGTTTTATCGCCACAATAGTGCCGGTTAGACACTGCATTAGTGCCACAATTAGTACCTATGTAGTATTAATAAACACTGACAGAATTTTTAAGTACTGAATTCATAATTTTGCGCTCTTGAAGAAATAACCAAGAAATCTCCCATTTTCTGAGATGATATATTGATTTGATCGTATGAAATACAGTCTATGCTAATCAAACTTTAGGCGCTTCAATAATAATCCAATAACTTCAGCTTTTATATGTGAATGGCATTGCACCTTCTGTTAATAATGTGTGTAGAGTGTAGCACTAAAATAGTTATATCGAGAGTATATAAAACACTATCAATAGATAATACTATCTTTTAATAAAATATTGTTATTCCTTGCCGGCCGCGGTTATCGGCTAACTATTTTGATGTTTGCCAAATTATCCAACTTCGAGCAATCAATCATAAAGTCGTCTGATATATGTATGTAGTCTCTTAGTATACTCTTTATTTCTACTTTTTTTATTATTCTAAATCATTAAACCACGCATAAAAATAAATTATTAATAATTTTTTTTATTAAATAAACTATTGTATTCAGTAAAAATATTAAAAAATTACATGCTGTGATAGTATGCGTCATTCTAAATCTGAACATTGATGTCGTTAGGCATCGTGTTACACGAAACCTTTGACATGATAAATGAATATTGTCAATTAAAAGTTTTAGAAGTGAAGCTAAAATCACTGGTTCTATTTAAATGAAAAAGCGAATGCTATATTATATTATAAAAAGATCTTTAATAAAATATATCATTGTTTTATACGATCAAAGGTGTCCATACACTTCCGAAAGTATACGAATTAATTATTACACGTCTTCATTTTGCCCATGTATGGAGGTTATCATATACATGTACCTATACTACACCTTAAATTGGCTGTACACAACATTCATATACGACATCCCTCGAATCCTGTATTTATCTTTAAGACTTCCCATATCGTTCCTTTGGTCTATTCTTACTTAAGTTTTCTTTAACAAAATCTACTTAGCAGATAACGATAGCCAGAAATGACTTATATTTGGTTTTGTTATTACATTAGTATTTCAGTACAGCAACCTTTTTGATCGTTATTATGATGTGTTAACTACTACGATGCTGCATCGAACGGCTAAGTATCTGTTTCTCTTAGATTACGATACTAAGAACAACAGTAATCAGTAAGACGAGAAGCACGTTGTTTACGTTTACAAATTATATTTTAATAACAATAATTACCAGCCAAACTACGTAGGCGCATGAATAAAGTTGAAGATTTTAAATAACAGCAATAATCTCAAAATTACATTTACATAATTCGAAAACATCTGTTTTTTTCAAGTTCACTTGAATATTCATCAAGAATTATTTAGATCAAAATCTGATGATGATGATCAAAAGTTAATAGATACAGTTTCAATGTGTATGTCACCGAATATCTCTATAGAATAATTGTATTACATTCTATACAAGTTATTTTTTGTATATCTATAGTCTTTTAAAGAAGCGCTGTGTGATGTAAATTAAGTAATTTACATCCCTTTCATTCTGCCATCCTTTCTTAACTTTTTTGATGGAGCGGCATTTAAATTTCTTGTACTTACCGTCCGTTTTGATGATGTCGCTAACAAAATATTTTGTTAAGCATGGGCACGGCCAAGATAGTGGAATAAATTACGCCTCTGAGTGGTGGAATGAATTTTATGTCTGTATTAGTTGATTATTTGAAAGGATACCAAACATTACTTTGGATAGGCGCACTGCCTAATCCTATCACTGCAATGCGTGGGTTAGAAATATACCTTAATAACTACACACAGACATATTGTGAAAAAGAACAATGCAGGTTATAATATTGCGCTTCATATAAAGGAATAGTGCAAATATCTGACTAATATATGTTGAAATACCAATATTTGACGGACGTGTTGGTCAAGTGGTGCGTGACCCTGACTGCTAAGCACGAGGTCGTGGGCTCGATTCCCACCCAGGACAAATATTGTGAGAGGAGCACGATCATTTGTTCTGTGTCTGGGTGTTTATCTAAAATATGTATGTATTTAGAAATATGTAAGTTTATATGTTTATCAGCAGACTGGTTACCATAGGCTCTGCCTAGTTTGGGATCTGATGGCCGTGTGTGAGATGTGTAATGTCAGTATTATCATTATTTAATATTATTTATGATTATTTGTATTGTACAACCATATGTTCATCGTACCGTTCATGTTACTGTGGTAAGACACTGTCATTTACTTACACAAAATAAATAAATCAATTTTATTCCATGATTCCTGATTTCGGAATAACTTCGTTTCTTTACCCTGACATTAATAAATAAGTGTACCTACTCAGAGAAACTGTTCGGACTCATCAAATATTCATTGCTTTAAAGCACCGGGCTGCAAGCAAAAATAGAATACGACGCTAAAAACAATATGAATGTACGAAATCACCAGTTTACCAACAATAAACAGGATTACCTACTTCAAAAAGTAAAGTTATCGTTTTTAATTGTGTAGGTAGTGTGGGGGACTAGAATAAAAAAATCTGATAATATCACATTCGGCCTATGATTGTAACTTTGAATCGCTCACACCAATTTTCGTTCATTATATGTGTATGAATATGATTTCGTGAGTTAACCATCCAGTACCAATTACCGATTGCGTGAGCCTCAACATTTTATAAGTAGAGTGATTTTATTAGCGAATGCTTTTTACATATTTAGATCAGGAACGTAAGCTAATTGTTTTCTGATGACCACTGTAAGCGTAAGTATTGATCTAATATGCCAATGTATATTAAACTGAGCTAGGTTTATGTGAAAGCATTTTTTATTTTTATTTGGTATTGAAATAGGTATTTGTCGTCCAACTTAGGTATCTCATTAAAAGAGACGATGGTCACAAAGATGACACACGCCTATCTGTATTAGATAAGCCAATTTAGTCAACGCCTGAACGTTTAAGGATTATATATATTTTTTAAATAAGACAAGCAGTTTTTTCCAGACTATGGCGATTTGAACTAAATAGAAAGCGTCATGTTTAGTTCAACGTTTGGGTGTTAGGTAGGTACAACAATAAAATAGTGGATCGCCGTCTAGTAGACTGATGAAGGAATGCAAAAGCCGCAATCTTTTATTTACAAGCTACATTCTGTTTATCATCGTTCATAATAATATTTTTAACTAAGCGCTAGTTGTAGATTGGAAATTTAAAACAGTTTTTCTTTCATTTTTCGTTGAAAAAATAAGTACCTACTTTCACTTATTGCACACAAAACGGCAATTTCATAGGTAAAGACCTATTATAAATAAGTAATAAAATTAGTTCTTTTTGGAACGAAGTTCCTTATCGCGCGTTGTGAAAGGGGGCTAGACGGAAAAAATCTCACGAAAAGTTGTAACGACACTTTTTATTTTGAATTGTCACTTGTCAGTCATTCAGCGCCATCTATAAATGTATAAATTGTTTTAATTAGAAACCAACTGAAAAATATGTAGGTAATAGCCGCTTTCATAGATGGCGTTGTAATTAAAATCGTGTCGAATCAGTTTTACTCGATCGTCACAACTTCGTTCCTATCGAGTGTCCCACGACACCACACGGCTTTTTTTAAAATTCAAATTCTAAATAGCCAACAATACCCCAATATGACATAATAATGGTAAAACGTAGGTACCTAATAAAACGATAACAACCGATGCGACCGATTTCGTTGGTAAACATGCTGTAGGTACCGTGATTTTCTATATATAACAACATTTTATGGTAGCCTTGTTTCTAGCAAAAATTGGTATTGGTATAAATAAATTCAAAATAATTTATTTTTAACGGCGTGAGGGGTCTATGGACCCCCGCTCCCAACGAAGTTCCTGTCGCTTTTTGGTAGACGTTTGCTAGTGTCGGGAAAAAGTCTCGTTACACATTTCTTCGATCTCGCTCTCATCCGCCCAGAGCGTGTACTTACGTACCTACATACATAATATACAGATCGTTCCTCTTTTATAGAAAGCAAGACAGCCTACTTCCCTCTGAATGTTTAATGTAGCTGTTAATGAAGTCAACAAAAGCTCGTTTGTGTAGTAAATAAATACTGCATCTAGATAGAAGCGCTGAATAGTGTCAAGTTCAAGTAAAGGCCGCGACGATAAACAAAGCTTATCACAACGGATGGACAGTGACGGTAAAGCGAGTTATCAACCCTTTGTATCGTCTTTTTATTTTAACTACATCTAGTAGTTACCTACTCCTTTTTACACTGCTGAATTATATCCACTGTTTTTTATATTTATGGGATTTTACTTTTACTAACCTTTCTACTTTCATGTTATTTACTTTACATTAGCAAATCAGAATAAATCTAGAATATAATTATGCTTTGAACTAAACTTAAAAGACACGAATAGAATATTCATTGTGTTTGCATCTATTTAACACTAGCTTTGCCCGCGACTCCGCTCACGTGTATGTCGGTTATCGCGGTAATAAGTAGTCTGTAGCTTTCATGTATATACTATATAGACCTTTCTAAAAGTAAAAGAAATGCCAAAATCGGATCAGAGATCCAAGTGCGAGTTTATTTCACATCAACTCGCTCTCGACGACGAGCGCGTTCGGCGTTGCGATTGTTAAAGATTTCGGTGCGGGCCAAACGCGGTCACTGTGACGATCCTGTAGATGCGAAATAACTCGCACTTGGGCCTCAGAAGGCTACTTCACGTAATAAAAGTTCGGTCACATTGCAGTTCATTAAAACTCTCGATCTCGTAACTGTCATTTCAGATATTTTCATAGGAAAATAGTCAAGTATTACTAAGACTAGCAAATTGTCGATTCAATTTTCAGTTATAATACGATATAATCACATTACAGTCAACGTTTGTTGTTTAAATCTTTACTACGAAAATCGTACGTTGACCGAAACTGAATTGTGACCGAACTTTTATTACGAAAATTGGCCTTCAGTATGCTTTTTACAATGAGTGACGATAATATAAGATTATCACACACAGATCGTATGTAAACATAATTTATAAAAATGTTTAATCAATGGTGATTAAAAAAAGTCAAACGATCAAATGTTGTCTATGATCGTTTGACTGGTGGTGAAGTAAGACGCTTTTATTTCATAATCACAATCTAAATCAGCACTTGATCAGTATTTAAAATTCGGCAGCAATGGTTTAAACACTACAATAATATATACGAGTATATATACCCTTTCTATTTATTACGATCGCTGATCTGGATGATAATGCCACTCCGGCTTTCTTTAATAGGGTGGATTCCTGAGTTTAAAACAAATTATTTCTCCGGAATCAATAGTTGTAACATCTTAACTTACAGCTTGACTTGTCCTCTATTATCAATTTAATGTTTTTAAACATTCAAATCACAACAAATGATTTGACAATAGCTAGATATGACGTCATGCCATAGTACTTATTTCATTCGAAACTGTAGGTACCGTTTCTATCATTTTGACGTTTAATAAGAAAATAGGTACTGATTTGACTAGACAGTCATCTACCCCATTAGAGTTACTATATTCAGAATCACCTATTTTTTTCAAGCATGGGACGGATGGCAAAAGCCTACTTATGCAATACTTTAGACTGTTAATATGATGAGATTTATTTACTATGTTTAGAATTATTTACCTAATTCTAAATGTAGTGCGATTTTTATAATAAGTTTTATATAAATTAATTAATACTGTTTTAGGTACGTGGAGTTACGTGTAGTTTTGAACCCGTCGGGACTGAAACTAGTCGGGCATTAACCTCGCGGGAATATTGCATAGGTACCTACTACTACTGTAATTGCTAATTACCGTGCTACTACGAAAGTGGAAATATAAAAGTAACAAGTCAAATTTCGCGGGCTACGTACATTTGATTTCCGTTTTTTTTTTTATTTTGTTAAGTATGTGGGTATGTACCAACATAACAAAATCGTCTCGAACATATGTTCACAGTTTCAGCTATATAGCATGTTTAGTTTGTTAGTGAGAGGCATAAATGTTTTCTGGCCATTTTCTGTTGTCGAAAAAAATGGATCAAAGAATTTGCATCAAATTTTTTGTAAAAAATGGATTTAACTGCTTAAAAACGTTTGAAATGTTGACAGTGGCATACGGTGAGTGTACTCTAAATCAAAAAATGTTTACAAGTGGTACAAGCTTTTCACAGAAGGTCAAGAATACGTGAATGACGACGCTCTCCTGGACGCCCCAGCACATCAACAACCGGCGAAAATGTTAAAAAGTAAAAAAAATAATATGGAGAATCGTCGAATCACTATTGGAGAAGTTGCTAAGGATATCGGCATATCGGTTGGCTTATGTCATGTAATTTTCAGGAAATTTTGGACATGAAGCGTGTAGCAGCGAGGTTCGATAATGTGTTCGATAAAACACCATAATCATGCCTCAGCTACCGTATCCGCGCATTTCACGCCCCCTGCGACTTTGTCCTGTTCCCAAGATTAAAGAGACCCATTTAAGGATGGCGTTTTGCGACGACAAAAGATTGAAACCGAATTGCTGAGAGAGCTCGAGGACACCAAAAAGTGCATAGGTATCAGAACTGCTTCGAGGATTGAAAAAAATGCTGGCACAAGTGTATTATATCTGACGGGGACTACCTACTTTGAAGGGGACAATGTATATAATTATTAATCAATAAATTTATTTTTTCGGAAAATTAAAATTCGTTTTTTTTTAACAGACGATTTATGATATTAAATGGACTGTTGCCTTTGAAATATTTTAGTTTCTTTTTTAATTTACATAGGTTCCTAAGAAAATGTAAACTTACATCATTAAAATATGCTTGCTCTAATCGCTGCCTGGTTTTACTTGCTTTACTGTATTCAGGTAGGCTGGATTGTCGTCGAACTCTCATTCTTTGTTCACGTTCCATAGTCATTAAATCAGATTTTTGTGACAGAACTAAATAGTGTAACCGGTGTATTATGTCCATCTTGAATATTAGTTAAATTCCGTTGAATTTTATGTGTTCACACTTAATTTCTCTTTTTAATTGTTTTTATTATCAAAGTTTAATTCGAAAATATCGAATAGATGCATTTTGATGTAGGTACATAATTTTATCAAAATTATTCCAAAAGTTAGGGTTTTTGTTAATAAAGTTTTAGTTTTTAATAAAATGATCAATCATCCAGGTACCTGGATTATTACATTAGAAATAGCTTTGTATGTGATTGAATTTTAATACTTAATTACTTAATAATAAGAATATTGAAAAAGTCGTCTAAAACTGAAATCTGTAAACGCGTTCGCGAAATACCGACCCGCTAGGGAGGCCGACACGGAGTGACTGCCGCCGCGCCGGATGTAGCGTGGCGGCGCTCCGAGACGTCGCCAAGCAACCGTTTACAAACAACACGCAACCGAAGAGAGATTACCAGTGAATCTAGACCAGTAAGTATGCCAGCATTATGTAGCAACTTCAGGCTAGACAAATTGGCCGCGTAAATCGTTGTAACTCATTTTGATCCTCCTTAGTTAATATGAAAATGCGATATAAAATGATGCTTAATATTTTGATTTACATTTAATATTGAGGGAGGCTCTACAGCTTTCTGCACTAATTGGAAACCATGGCTGAAAAAACCTAATAAAAAAGGTCTGCATAGTTGCGACTCATTAGTTCTTATTTTGAAATTAATCTTAACAGAGGTACATAGAGATAAAATTGTTAATCAAATACATGGTTTAAATGTTTAAGACAAGGTCTCAATTCGTCTTTATACTAGTTTTACCAATAAATTATCCGGCAATAAAGTATGTTTGACTTCTGTAATGTTATTAAAAAAATGCACCAACCCCAAATAAAATTCGGGTAAGGGCGGGTAAATGAATGTCAACTTTTTAATAATTAAACAATACATACTTATGAATACTTTATTAGTTGTTTAAGACCGACAAATATATCTCACAAATCTCACAACGTGAGTCAAATATTTTGAAGTCAAAAAGACTACATATACATAACTTAACGTAACCCATTATACTATACAACAATCAATAAATACACGTGTAAATAGTTAATCCTGGCAGCACAGTATTAACATATTTCAAAAAGATTTCATTTATTAACTCTTCGTGGCTTAGTATTTAAGTTATAAGAAGTAATCACAGAGAAAATTGGCCAACTGATATGTGTATATCTGAGTTAAATTTACATTTGATTAATGTTTAATAACTGTCCTGTTTGACAATAGGTTAGCCACTAATTTGAACATAATAGTAAAACAAGCTGTTCCTTGCAGTTTAACTTTGCTGCTTTGCTCCTATATATCATAACGTGATATAACATATCTAAAACCTTTCTCAAGAATTGTGCAGTCAAATGCAACAATAATTTTCAAATACGACTAATATTAGTTGTACTTGAGATTAGCATGATCAACAAAAAAACTCTTCCGCTTAATTAATTAGTATAGATATCTTTGAATCATAATTTGAATACTATTCCACTTTCACTATGCATACTCTACTATATGGATACTTATTTGAGTTATGTATAAAATTTAAGTTACTATAGTTTGTTAATATCAGAGATGTTCCGACTAGTCGACTAGGCTAGGTAAAGCAGACTATCCGGCCACTTTTGTAGACGGTTACTAATCGGTAAAGAGCGCCGACTATCCGGCTTCTTACTTTATATTGTATGTGTTTCTCAATTGGTAAATAAAATCTATATGAGCCGTTCTTTGACATTAATATGATAAATTTTAATTGAGCTCTTTCACTTGAATGACTAAAGACAGTTATAGTCTTTATTTTTTACACAAAACCACAGCTCTGACTAGTGCAAAAGTAAAAATTAATGCGTAGTAAACAAAATATATTCGCAGGTAGCGGTTGCGCCTTGCGCGCAATTCAGCAGTAAGCGAATCGTGGTCAACTTGGCCGACTAGTTGGCATTGTTATTACCGAATAATTGGCTAGTCGGCCGAAGTCATTGACGGCACATCTCTATTAATATGGATATAATAAAGGTTGAAATATATCATTCTTTATAACAATATAAATAAGTTTTTATCCTCTTTAGTAGTAACTATCACATACACATATGTATAATGATAAATTTACCAAACAATTTTATGGCCTTACTACAAAGTATCTGTATCTAAGTACTAATTTTTAACAATGGTTTGTAAGGTAGTAATAAAATTTTAGTAAACATTATGGATTTGGGGTAGAGTTGTGTAGCTACTGAGCTACTAAATGATCTCAATTATATATATCACTCACACCGATAAAAGGTATCACATGCACACACTAGGTCCAAATGGATCAGTAACTCAGTTCTAGCTCACCAGCTCAACGTATAGGCTGCTCTTTGTTTCATGACTGAATGAGACTAAAAAAAGAACATGAATGATATAAAAGCGTTAAGTAGACGACTGACGAGAAATTTGTTTGCTTTATTATTAATTACATAAATCATCACTTGCTAAACTCCTGTTTGCTAAGTATAAACGAAAATCAATGTAATAATATGATGATTAAGTATGATTTCTAGTTTAAAAGTGAAGTTCCAAAAAACTTAATTTGGACTTAGTAAAGATAGGTGAATGAAATCGAGAAAAAGCAATCAATCAATTGAGACCAATCAACTGAATTAAATCTATGAGCTAGAAGAGTGATATATATCTTTACAGCAAAATGATATGTATCTATCTTTTCAGCGCAGTGATAAATTTTGGGCATCACTAATTTGGGTTCATATAAGTCATTTAAATATAATTCTCTTATTCAAAATATTAAAGTTTGTCAACAAACAGTACCCTAGGCAGGTGAAGGCTTACCCCTATACTGAAAACTTAACAGCTAACTTTAGTATCAATCAGCTTTCAGTTAAGGCTAAGAAGCACAATCAGCATCATCAGTGTTAATACTTACTACAATCAAGTGTCATCCGTTAGTACAGGTAAAACAAAGTGGTAACATTAAAGATTAGATAACAAATGATAAGAGCTGAAAGTTCTCGTTGTTCTTGTGATATTGTACAATAATCATATACATTATAAAATACCTCTACGACTTTCATTAGAAGTCATTCTTTCAAAGTATTTTATATACATACACTTAAATTAATATGCTTAGTAATAATATGAACCAATTTTTTTACAACAGTTCAGTTTTACACTTAATTATATGGACATTGTGTAAAGCACCATGAAAAATTAGTCTACTCCTCAATACAATTACCTAATGAATGCATGATTATCTTTGAATCTTAGCTGGTCCTTGATTTATATTATGATGAATTTATATTATGCTTAAGATATTAATTAAATTTGTCTAGCAAATAACAAGTTATTCAACAACTTTCCTGTTACTGTGCATCCCCAATTTTTGATTTACCGTTGAGTTTACCGAGTTGACCCAACATTAGAACAGTATTTATTAAATTCTCTGAATAAATGCGCTGATTGGTTTCCATGCGTCTCAATTTTTGGACCACATATTTTGAGAAAAACTCAAGTTCATTGTCACTTCCTTGAGTTCTAGTATCTAAGTCTTCCATACTCCTTTTACGTTTAGTCTCTCGAATATTTACATCATTTGAATTTTTAGCTTTCCTTTTAGGAGAATTATTTGACTTAATATCCGTACTGCCACTGTTAACAAAAGCCAAATTTAAATCTTCAGCCAAATCGTTAGCTTCTTCTTCATTTAACTGTATTGTCAAATCATCTGGCACCGTTACCATAGGTATATGGTTTTCAGAAAATATGGGGGAGGGAAGGAAAGATACTCGTTTCCTCACTTTGACAGTAGAATGCTTTGGTTTCATTGTTGTATCTTCAGCAGACGCAGCCACAGTGTGTCTACGGTTAGTTTTCTGTTTAACTGCATCAGTGTTATTCAGTCGACTAACAGACTGTTTATTACTCCAGAAATTAACTTTTATTTTCTGTTTAAGTTTGGGCTTCTGTTCAGATAATTTAGTCCTATTCAACACAACAGTAGGCAATTTATAACGAATGTTATCATCGTCATTTTGAGCCTTGTCGACTTTTTCAGTTTTTTTATTCTTAGGTGATTTAGCAATATTGTTAAAATATTCTGTATTCAACTTGTATCTAATGTTGTCATCATCTGATTGATAGCCATTTCTTTTAGAAGATGCTTTATCTGCAGATATGGGTTTCATTTTATTAATCTTAAATTTTAGTATTAGTTGGCAGTGTAAAAATTATCAGAAGACTGCTCCTGAAATGATGAAAAATAGTTGAATTAAGAACTGTCATTTCAACTACAACTACGTTTTTTACAAGCTAGGGGTGTCTGTGGATGAGTAGGATTGTTTTGAATGAGCATTACGATTTCCCGCCTAAATCTCTATCACATTTTTATCGATAATAACAAATTTAATGTGAGAGCAATTATGTTATTTATGAGTTCTAATAAATTGAAAACTAATAACACGTTGAGAACCCCCATTTTAAACACAGCATGCAATAAAAATAAAATCTAAGATAATAATATTTTGAGGTTATGAAATTGTCAAGCATATTAGTATGCAAATCTACCAAGTTGTTTGTTAATTAAATACCTTTAGGTGCTTAATATTTGATTTGTAACTATGATTAGGGCTTTCAAGTAGTCTTTATTCATCTTTTAAGGTAATATGATGTCTCGTCATCAATTTTATTTGTAGACAAATTAGTATTACATAACCTTAGTAATACATGAAATAAAACTTACCTTCAAAAAGTTTCATAATCATCCATTCAGTTCTCACTAAGAATATTGTACACCAAAGTTAAAAATAAATAAATATTATCCACGAATACAAACACGATTCCGTGTTCATGACGCGAGGTAGTTCTGATTTTACCCGCTAGAGGCATGTACGGGCGGGAAAACTATGGTCGCGTTCTACAAAAAGAAAAATTTAAAAGGACAAATTTAAAAGGACAAACACTATTTTTGATCTAGGTGGTTCTACCCGTAAAGTCTTACACATTTTTGTTAACTAAATATTTTGTACATACAAATTAACAACAACAACATACACATTTTATCTACATATTTTATTGAACGCATTACCACGGTACAATTATAATATGTACCGTGGCATTACTGTAATTACAGATGTACATATTTTGTAAATTATAAAACAATTCTGACAGGTGGACTCGCCTTGTTTCAGAACTTAACAAAATTGCCGATTTGTACTGAAAAAGTGAAAGTACTTAGTAAGGAGGTTTTGGCCTACTATACCACGCTGGCCAGACGGGTTGGTATAGGGTTTGTGTCAAGTTTTCCTTCTCTCTGCAGTGGTGTTGTCCTACGTAGTTAGCTCCCATAGTCGCCTCTTACGACACCCACGGGATGTCACTCTGTATTCTTAATCCGTCACGTTAAACGGATAAAAGGTGAACTTTATTCTTATATGTATATTAGAGACAGAATCGTGATTTTGTTATTGTGCTCCAAAACTTTCGTTTTGAATCAAACAAATAGAAAATACCTCTGTAAATCAAAATAAATACTAAAACCAAATTCTGTCATTTTAAAATTCTAAGATTTTTGAAATCACCCTTAATTTAAGAATAAAAAGAAATGTAAATCTAAGTTTATAAATTGATGCTGCATTAGGTTTTTTGCAGGATAAACTTTACATTTTATGTACATATTTTGTAATTTACAATTATTTTTTTTAAGTAGACAACGCCCGCACTAGGAATAAATCCTGTGTCGCGGGGACTTTACAAACATACATGAAACGGACACAAGGACACCCAGACTCAGAACAAAAAATTGTGGATCACACAAAGTGTCGTCCCATGTGGGGATCGAACTCACAAAATTTAGCGTAGTAGTAAGCGGCGTGGCGACCGCTTAAACCACTACGCCATCCGTGCAGTACTTTGTAGATACAATATTGTCATCGAAATCCTTAGGTTTTTTTTTGCACATTTAAACGTTTATTTAACATCATTTATAACGGTAATATTTGGAATGTTGTTCTTGTAAAATTCTTACATAATTGTACGGTTTATTAAACACCATTTGTCATATAACTTAACAAATATGTCAGTTATTTACAAAATTGACAATTTGTAATGTTTATTAAACACCCTGGGCCCGGTGATGTGACATGATGTAGTATCTGTTAGAAATGTTATTCTAGTAAACTTAATATACGGCTGGCTGGCGCTGATATATGCTTAAATTACTGGGCTTAGTGCTTTTCGCAAAGCATATACCCTGCGCATGAGCCTCAACATGCGCAAGCTACTTGCATCGTGTACAAGTACCTTTATGATTTGCTAAGGTTTATCAAATGCTAAGCTTATTTTGATAGAAATCTAAGTTTATTAAATGATGTTTTATCAGGTTTTTTTGCAAGATAAACTTTACTTTAAAACTCATCATCATCATTTACACAGAGTTAAAACACCTTGTTTTTTCTGTGTGCGGAAATCCCCTTGTGGAAACCAACCGGTGGGGCTCTTACATCGGACTCGAACCAACTAAAAACCGCACGTCGTCGGGTACCTTTAGCTGCTGAACTAAGTGTACCCTAGACAGGAAATCCCTGGCACCATTGACGGACCCCGTGCCATCTACGCCTTGTAGATGACCCCCTCATCGACCCCCACTAGAAGGGACTAATGCTGTTATAATGAGGGTGCTTGTTATAGTTGTTTTAATTAGATTTGTAATTATTTTTTAATTTTAGTGCTCTTTGTCAGCATTGTTTGCAGTCGGTTCAACTTCTTTTTAAAAGGATTTATTACATGTATTTATTCCTTCGGAATAGATATTAGTATCATCAAATAATATAAGTGGTTGACTTTAATGTGATATGAAATATGTTTGTTTAACCTGTGATTTCAAGCGAGTGATAAATTTTATTAAGTTTGAATTTACACTTTATAGGACATTGATATATATTATGTCGCAAAAGTTGTTAACATTTTCCTAACATTAATTACTTTTTGTTTAAGCAAATTTATGGTTGTTTAATAAAATTGGTGAGCACTTCACGTCTGTAAGTGCTATATTGTTAAATTATATAAAGCACTTAGCCCGGCCTTTTGTTCTGTCTGATTAATTAATACAGATTTATCTCAAGTGCGTGTTCCTAGATGGCTGGGAATATCCGGTGATATTAGTTCCGTGGAGTTGCGTGGTTTCAGTGACGCCTCAAAATCGGCATATGCAGCAGTGGTATATACGCGAACTGTCCATAGCACTAACGATGTAAGCGTGTCTTTGTTAGTTGCAAAGACCAAAGTCGCCCCTATTAAGCAGATAAGTCTCCCTCGCCTCGAGCTTTGTGGTGCCGTCTTATTGGCGAGATTGCTAGCAGACGTGGCGAAGGCCATGAATATTCCAAGGAACAAGGTGCATGCATGGACTGATTCGACGGTATTGCTTGCCTGGCTCAATAGTCATCCAAGTAGGTGGAAAACATTCGTGGCAAATCAAGTGTCGGAGATTTTGACCACACTTGATTCAGAACAATTTGCCCACGTGTCTTCTAAGAACAACCCTGCGGATTGTGCGTCAAGAGGAGTTTCACCTAGTTCACTAGCAGAGAACAAACTGTGGTTCGAGGGACCCCAATTTTTGCGTAATCCTGATGTGGTGTATAGCAGACCTGCTGTAGACAACATTATATTCGAGCAGTCAGTGAAGTCTCACATTGGTATAGCGAAAGAGGACTCAACCAAGTGTCCCTGGATAAAATTCAGCTCATTGGGGCGATTATTGCGAGTTTTATCATACTGTAGAAGATTTATTAATTTAAAAAATAGAAATAACAGGCCCAAGCATTTGCAAGCGATAAAAATAGAAGAAAGTTTGAAATATTGTATACGACATTGTCAGAAGACTGTATTTACAAGTGAATACTTACACATAAAAACCAAAACACTTCATAAATTAAAGGGCAGTAAAATTAGTTCATTACACCCTTTTTTAGACAATGATGACATACTTCGTGTTGGTGGTAGATTGCAAGAAGCGCCTCTGCCAGATCAGTTAAAGCACCCTATAATTCTTCCGATTCTTCCGCATGATGCACATCTTACTAAATTGTTGGTGGCAGATGCGCACGAGCGAACGTTACATGGAGGTCCTCAGATCATGGTAAATTTTTTAAGATCTGCATATTGGATACTTGGAGTAAAGAGCCTCGTTAAACATTATGTTCGCAAATGTGTGACATGTGTAAAGCATAACGCCAAGATCAACACTCAACTGATGGGATCACTGCCTTCAGTGTGCACTCCAACAAGACCATTCTTTCACAGTGGATTGGATTACGCTGGTCCAATTAATATCAGGACAGCAAAGGGTCGAGGCCACAAGTCTTACAAGGTCTATATTTGTGTCTTTGTTTGTATGGCCACACGGGCTGTACATCTAGAAGTTGTTAGTGATTTAAGTACACAAGCTTTTCTAGCGTCTTTTAGACGATTTGTGGCTAGGCGAGGACATTGTGCTCAAGTATGGAGTTATAATGGTACCAATTTTGTCAGCGCTGCAAGAGAACTGAAAGAACTGACAGCTATACAACAGGACATGGCAGCACATTTAGAAGGCAAGGGCACGGTATGGCATTTTATACCGCTTCATGCTCCAAATTTTAGTGGATTATGGGAGGCGGCTGTAAAGTCCACTAAGTTTCACCTCAAAAGGGTTATAGGCGATTCAACTCTAACCTATGAAGAGATGAGCATTTTACGCAGTCAAGTGGAAGCTTGTCTGAACTCTAGACCAATGACAGTCATTAATGGTGAAGGTTTGGATGAACCACTACCATTAACGCCGGGTCATTTTCTGGTTGGCGAACCGTTAGTGACTGTGCCTAAACCTGATTATGAAGCATCATACATTAGTCCTTTAAATCGGTGGCAACTCATACAAAGGATGTTGCAGAACTTTTGGCGGCGTTGGTCTGCGGAGTACTTAACCACGCTAGCTCATAGATATAAGTGGTCTTATCACATTCCCGAACCAAACATCGGTGACGTAGTACTTGTCAAAGAAAGTGATTTACCTCCTGCTCGTTGGTTGCTGGGTCGAATAGTTCAGAAACACCCAGGACCTGACAACGTTACCCGAGTAGTCACATTAAAGGTTAGAGGGAGTTTACTGAAACGTCCTAATTCAAAGTTGTGTATTTTGCCTGTC